ACTGATAGGATGTTATCAATGGAAATAACATTAAAGAAGAGGCATTATCATCTGCTTTGCCACTGCACCCTAAGGATTAGGGAACTTTTTCATCTGACTTGCAGCTAAAACTGCAAAAATATGTTGGATAAGAGAAGAGTTAATGACCAAACAAGAGATAGAGAGGATCACAGGAAGCAAGATGGATAATTTCAATTGTATGAAATTAAAAAACTTTTGCACCAACAAAACTAATGCAGCCAAAATTAGAAGGAAAGCAAGAAACTACAAAAAAAATTACAGCAAGTTTCTCTGGTAAAGGCCCAAATTTGTAAAAATAAGAGTCATTCCTCAATTGATAAATGGTCAAAGGATATGAACATTCAGTTTTTCAGAAGAAGAAACCAAAGCTATCAATAGTAACATGAAAAAATGCTCTAAATCACTATTGATTAGAGAAATACACATTAAAGCAACTCTAAGTTACTATCTCACACCTATCAGATTGGCTAAGATGACAAAAAAGGAAAATGATAAATGTTGGAGGGGATACGGAAAAATTGAGACACTAACATACTGTTGGTGGAGTTGTAAACCACTCAGAAACAATCTGAAATTATTTCCAAAAGGGTATAAAACTGTGCATACCCTTTGACCCAACAATAGCACTACTAAGTATATATCCCAAAGAGATAAAAGAAAAGGTAAAAAAGACCCATCAACTAGGGAATAGTTGGACAAATGTGGTACAATTGTGATAGAATACTACTGTGCTATAAGGAATGACTAGCAAAATGGTTTCAGAAAAACCTGGAACATCTTATATGAACTGATACAAAGTAAGTGAGCAGAACCAGGAGAATATTGTACACAGTAACAGCAATATTGTAACAAAGATCAACTGTGGAAGACTTAGCTATGGTGATCAACACAACGATCCAAGACAATTCCAAAGCACCCATGACGAAAAATGCTATCTACCTCCAGAGAGAAATGATAAACTGTGAGTACAAATTATTTCCCTTTCTTTATATTTTTGTGTATATTTTCTTTTGCAACATGGCTAATATGGAAATGTTTTGCATGACATCACACATATGATCAAAATCATATTGCTTGCCTTCTCAAGGGGTAGGGGAGGAGTGGGAAGGAGAATGAGGATTTGGAACTCAACATTTTAAAAAACTATTAGTTTTTTAATGTAATTGGGAAATACTTAACAAAATAAATAAAAATATGTTAAAACCTTCCATATATGCTGCCTGCCCATGAGACTGTGAGCTCCTTGAGAGTAGATATAGATACTGTCTTGCTTTTCTGTTTGAGTTTCCAGCACTTAGCACAATGATTTGCACATAGCAGGTGCTTAATAAATAAATTCATTCATTCATTCATTCATTCATTCAGCAGCACTGTGAATAGGACTGAGCAGCAAACGGTAATCCAAGGCTGAGGCTTAGCAAGGGCAAAATCAGCAATAGGATAAGAGCGCAAGAGACTCAAAAGAAAAGGACAATATAAAGTTGAACTGGTTCACCAAGGGGTCAAAATGGGGAAGTGAGGAGAATGTAGCCAGTGATGAGGCCTGCAAAAGAACTGAGGGTGAAGGGACTGGAGGTTGCAGTGAGGATGAAGAACAAAGTTAAGGGCTGCAAGACAGGGAGAGATAGAAAATTTTATGGTTCATGAAAACGAAAGCAAAACACATGTGGCAAGATGACAAAGTCCAGGGTAGAATCATTTCTGTACGCAGTTGAGGTTGGTAGAAAAGTAGGTCATATGAAATGAGTAAGTTGAAGAACTGGGAGGCTGGGGTGTTTGAGGAACTAACAATATATATGCTGAAGTCTCTTAATATAAGGGCAGGAGTTGAGGAAGAAAAAAAGACTGTGAGCTAGGCACTGAACTCATCGAGAAAGCAAACTATTATGCTCTGTAACTGTGGGTGTACTTCTATATCCTTCCAGGCTCCCAGGTTCAAAACTTTATCATTACCCTCAACGCCTCTTCCCAAACAACTAATAAGTTGCCAAACTGTCTTGCCGTTTCACCTCCACAATATCTCTTGCATCCATCCTCTTCTTGCCATGAAGTATTACAAAGGCATTATAAATGGTCTCCTTGCTCTCTACTCCAGTCCATCCTCCATACAGCTACAAAGTGATTTTCCTAAAGCATAGGTCTGACAATGTCATCCTGCTACTCAATTTACTTCAATGGCTACCTCTTGCCTCCTTGCAAAACTCCTCTTTTTGGCATTTAAAGCCCTTTATGATCTGGTCCCAACCAACCTGTCCAATGATTTTATATATCACTTCCCTTCCTGCCTTCTAGGATCTTGCCAAATGAGCACCTTCATGTTCCTCATACACCACACTCCATCTTCTGCCTTTGCACTGGAATACACTCTCTCTTCATGCCTGCTTCAAAGAATCCCTTACTTTCTTCATGACTCAGCTCAAGCACCCCCTTCGACATGAAATCCTTCTGGATTTTCCTCTCCCCACTGCTAGTGCCCACTTCCCCTCAACTACCTTGTATTTATTTATCTATGGATTTATATGTTTTCTCCCTCAGTAAAATATAAACTCTTTGAGAACAAGATCTTTCATTTTTTTCTGTATAACCTACAACTTAGCCAGCATTACGCCAACAGAGAAGGCATTTAACAAATACTTGTTGACTGATTGAAAATAGACACCTAGAAAGAGACCCCTTCCTGCATTATATTGTGAAAAGTACAGCTATATCAATTAATCAAATTTTCTTCCAATGAAGAAAATTGATAATGCCACTGTCTTCTGCCCTCATCACATCACATCTGAAATATTGATTAGTTCTAGACATAAGATTATAGGAAAGATGGAGAATATCCAAAGAAGGGCAACCTATGTTGAGGGGGCCAGGAAGTATTTCATCCAAGGATCATTTGAAGGAACTAGGGACATTTAGCCCAGAGAAAAGATGACTTAGGGGGACATAACTGCTATGTTCACATATCTAGAGGGTTATCATGTGAAGAAGTTAGGCCTATTCTCTTCGGTCAATGAGGACAGAACTATAAGCAAAAGACATGTTACAAGGAGACTGAGTTCAGCTAAAAGAAGAATTTGAATAATTGGAGCTGTCCAAAAATGTGATGGAGCTACCTCATGAAAGACTGGATCAAGTGAGATAATGTATGTATAGTTCTTTGTAAGTCTTAAAGCACTATATAAATGTCAGCTATTCCTACCATTATTAGTGAGTTCCCAGCCAATGGATATATTCAAGCAGAGGCTAGATTCACCTTACAGAGATGCAGCAAACAGAATTTTTGAACTGGATGGGAGGCTGGACTAAATGACCTCTAAGATCTCTTCTAGCTCTGAGATTCTAAGATCTGATGGTAACTGGCCTTGTATCCTGACAATTTTGCAATATAAAGATCATATTTTTTCCTTTCCCTGACTTCATGAAAACACATCCTCTGGAATTTTACCATCAACAAAAGTATATTTTCACCCTAGTAGAAAGAGATGATGTGTTTGCTTTCTTTTGACAAATAATATCTGTCATGAACAATGATTAACATTACATTTCCAGTTTTTCAGAAACACTAGCACACTTGAAGGCAAGGTTAAAAATCTTAACCACAACCTCTGTCTTGACAAAGAGCCAGCATGGCTCTCATTGCTGAGTATATGTACCAAACTTTCAGGCACACATTAAAATTATAAGTAATAAGATAATGATAAATACTTTCTTTAATCTAACAGATGCAAAGCACTTCTGAAGCCCTATAAATACTGAAAAGTAGAAAGTGAATATGATTTTCCTCTAAATACAGATGTTGTCATCAATAATGCTCCATCTAGACCCACTGATATTGACTGAAATTGTGTGGAAGACCACAAATTCTTGAAAAATTGCTCCTCTAGTTAAAAACCAACTACTGGAGCTGAAAGAGGAGGAGGATTTTGTTAGATATTTTATTCTTCTACATAGTTCTTAACCTGATGAGTTCCATAGTAGCTCTATTAATAATGCAATTCAAAGAAAGCCTGAATATATTTACTTATCTTAGGAGAGACACTTCAAATATGCAATAGAATACAATCAAAATTAATCAGAGACATTAGAAAATTCTGCCAAGTGATTTAAATTTCTCCCCAATGTGGTTTATTTACCAGGAACACTATGGCTGAGAAACTAGCACCTATCCAGAAAAGGTGCACAGTCTCCCTTGGTCTCTGTCCCTTCCCAATGAGGTAGCACCTTAGCATCAGGAGCTAAAACCACAAAATGCAGGGTGGCCCCAAATATTAGTGGGAAAATGAATGGAGCTGTGCCCATTCTCAGAAATCTGAGATCTCCTTTTGCATTTCTGTAAGCTTTACCTTAAAATCACATAGCTCGGTGAGGTTCTTTTTGGTTGGCAGTCTTAAAGACCCAAACCTAGCCCTCTACTATGGCATCCTCTGCCCAAATATTGTCCTAACAGGAAATTCATTCAATAAACATTTACAGAAGGCCTCCTATATACAAGATCCTGGGGGAGACATCAAGATAAATAGGGAAGGGTCCTTGCCCTCAAGGAGCAAACATCTAAGCTAACAGGTCTGGAACAAAAGCAAATGTTCCTCAATCTGTTTATTCTGCTGCCAAAATATCACATTGCTCAAAAGAGGCATGCCCACCTTCAGAAATCTGACCTATAAAAATCCTAACTTAGAATATATATGTAAGTATAAATATATATACATATATATGTATATATATGGAAACTCTTTTTACAAGAGAGTTCCCCACAGCATTTTTTTAAAATAATGAGATTCCCTAATGCATTTAAAATATGATTCCATTTACAACACACTTGATTCATATATGCAATTTTTTGGAACTGATCAAACTGCATAAAGTGAGTTTTACCTGTCCAGGACACAAATGACAGGTACTAACTATCCACTATTACCTTCACCCTGTGGCACTGCATCCATAAATCAGACACTGAAAACAAAATAAGGCAAAAAGGGACACACCTCTGGTCCCTTTTCTCTTCAGGATCAATTGAGACAGCGAGCAGAGCCTCCATAGGTCCACACCCTCTATTTGCTGACTCCAAAGATTGCAGGGTCTCCAGGCATTATAAGGATCCTAGTGGTTCACGATGACTGTACCAGCTCTCCATTTATAGACATACTCAGATAAAAATGGGATGGAATCAACGAAGACAGGTCAACTCCCTGTAAGGAAAACACCAAACAAAACAAAATGTGTTCCTTTTTTAAAAAAAGAAGTTCATTGTGACCGACAACGAAAATCTGTCTATGCTTCCCCGAACAATGCAGCAGGAATCTGCAAAGAGAAGAAGCTTAGGGACATAACCAATGAGTGTGAGCACAAACCAGCCTTTTAAAATGAACCCTGATAGCAATCTTCTACCAAACTCTGAAACACAAATGCAAAGGAGATCTATAAATAGCAGAACAAATATAATGACTGCAGCCTCTCACTTCTGTATCATTTCCTGCCAATGATCCTTTCTGACGCATACTACTTTTTATGAAATTATTCCATTTTGGGGTTTTGTTTGTAGTGTTCATTAGGTGTAGTAAACATTATAAAATATCAGAGCTGAAAAGGTCTTTAGAGATTACCCAGTCCAACCTCCTTGTTTTACAGAAAAGGAAACAGTCCCTGAAAGAGTAAGTGATTTGTCCAAAATCACACAGCCAGCTAGTAGCAAAGAAAAGGCTAGAATTTAAGTTAACTTATTCCCATCTTAGAGCTTTTCTCCTCCACTACACACAAATAAAACACTGTTTACAAAAGACTGAGAAATCTGATGGAAGAGTAAAGATAGGCAAATTATACCACCCCTATTTGCTGATAACATGATAGTTTACCTAAAAATCCTAAGGAATTAGCAAAGATACTAACTAACAATTCATAGCATCAGCAAAGTTGTAGACTACAAAATAAACTCACAAAAATCAACAGCATTTCTATATGATAATAAAATTTAAAAGGGAATAACAGGGAAATCTCACTAAAAATAACTACAAAATACATAAAATATTTGAGGCTCAATCTACCAAAACACACAAAATATTGTATGGACTCAATTACAAAGTACTCCTTAAAGAAATAAAAGAACAATTCAAATAGCTGGAGAGATATTCAGTGCTGAGTGCTGGGTTGTGGAGACATAATAAAAATGACAATACTACCAAAGTTAATTTACAGTTTTAATATTATACCAATCAAACTCTAAGGGATACTTTACAGAATTTGATAAAAAGAAAAAGAAAATTTATTTGGAAAAACAAAAGATCTAGAATATCAAAGGGAATGATCAAAAAAGGTAGGAATAAAGGAGGTATTCCTCCTTGCATCACTTCCTGTCCTCAAACTATATTATTAAGCAGCATCCATCAAAACCATTTGGTATTGGTTAAAAAATATAGAAGAACATCAATGGAACAAAATACATAAGGAAGAATCAGAAACAATGGAACTCAATAATCCAGTGTACGATAAACCCCAAAACATAAATTACTTAGGAAAGAATTCCCTATTTAGTTTTAAAAAAAAACTTCTGGGAAAACTAGAAAGCAGTCTGGGAAAATTTTGGTTTAGGCCAACATTAAATGCCATGATCCATAATAAATCAAAAATAGCTATATGACTTTAATATTGTAGATCATAGCATGAAAAATTAGAAGAGAAAAAGATCACATACCTTTCACAGCTATGAGTTGGAGATGTATTCTTAAAAAATAAACTGTCTAATAAATTACAAAAGATAAAATAGTTAATTTTGATTACTTTTGATAATTTGATTGCTTAAAATTGAAAAGCTTCAGTATTAAAAAAATTAATAAATTGAGGTTAAGAAGGGAAGTAGGCAAATGGGAAAAAATCTATCAAATTTCTCAGATAAAAGTTTGGCATGCAAGATACATAGAAAGCTAATAGATATAACACCAACACCTTATCCACTTATCCAATAGATAAGTTGTCAAGGAGATAGATAGATAGATAGATAGATAGATAGATAGATAGATAGATAGATAGATAGATGATAGACAGACAGACATATACACACATACATACATACATACATACATAGACGCAGAGACAGAGACAGATAAGACAGAAGACAGATAATTTATTAAGCATTTACTTTGTATCAGGCAAATTACTTTCTACTAGAAGAAGACAACACATAAAAGCAGCTGAAAAGCACAGGGTGGAGGGAATCACATGAGGACAAGGTGAAGAAATTCTGAGAGTGAGAAGCAGAACTAGGAGAGGGGAGAAGGAATGAGTCTAGTTGGCTTGGACATAAACAAACAGTTCTCAAAAGAAGACTTAAAAACTATTAATGACCACACGAAAGAATGCTCCAAATCATTAACGAGAGAATTGCAATCAAAACGAACCTGAGGTTTCATGTCACACCCAGAAAATTGGCAAAGAAGAAAAAAGATTGGCATAATTCATGTGGGAGATATGTGGACAGATAGGCACACTAAGGCCATCTTCTGTAGGAGGCTTTTTTCTGTGCCCTCACTGCTGGCTAGTGACTTCCCTCTCAGATTACCTCTTATTTACACTGCAAATATCTTGTAGGTACATAGATGTTTGTATCTTGTCTCAGAATGTGAGACCATGTTTTTGCCCTTTTTTGTATTCTTGGTATTTGACATTGTGTCTCAAATATTTTAACCTTCTATTTCCTCACCTTATTCCTTTCCCATGACTGACTTCTCCACCCCAACTCAGCGACATACAGAGATGGTCAGACCCCTGAACTTGCCATCACCTACCAGTGCTCCACATCCAGGTTCGTGAATTCTGAAAGTTCTTTATCTGATCATAATCTGTTGTCATTCCATCTCTCTTTCTGCCTTGCAACTCCAAATCCTGTTCTCCATCCTTGCTGTGACTTACAATCATCCCTTTGCCACTCAGTTCCCTTACCAGAATATCGCTTTCCTTCCTTTACCATCCTGAACCTCTGGTAAAGCACTTAAAATCTCTGCTGTCCATTTCTCTCTACACCCTTGCCCCTTTATCCTATTGAAGATCTTTTCCTTCCAAACTCCAGCCTGGGATTACTCCCACCATCCAGTCTTCACCCCATATTATGTACTGCTGAACAAAGCTGGAGAAAAGTACAAAATCGTGCTGATTGGTTTCACTACAATGTTATATCATCTCAACGGGGCCCTCACTGTGGCAAGGCAATCCTTTTACATCTCCCTAATCTATTCACTACCCCACTCATCACAAGAACTTTTCTAAACATTTTTATCCCTCCTTAAGCCTTCCATATCAACCCTCCCCTCCCTCCTGCCCCATCTCAGTTCAGAGCCTTGCCTCATATTTCACTGAAAATATTGAGGTCTTCTCAAAGAGCTCCCCTTTCTCCTCCGTTCTTTATCTCACATCACTCAGAAGTTTTCTGCCACTATCTCCTCCTTCACTCCTATTTCACATGAGGAGGTACCTTTTTTCCTTGCCAGGGCAAGCATACACAAGTGATCCCATGCCATCCTGTCTTCTCCGGCAGGTTGCTCCCTCTAATATCCCTACTTTCTCACTAATATTCAATCACGTCTTGTCTATTAACTCCTTTGCTACTGTCTACAAACTCACTCAGCTCTCTCCAATCCACAAAAAATCCTCACTTGATTCATCTGCAATTATCCTGGTTGTTGCTGATGTTCAGTCATGCCTAACTCTTTGTGACCCCATTTGTAGTTTTCTTGACAAAGATACTACAGTGGTTGCCATTTCCTTCTCTAGCTCATTTTACAGATGAGGAAACTGAGGCAAACAGGGTTAAATGCCTTGTCCAGGGTCACAAAGCTAGCAAGTATCTAAGGCAGGATTCGAACACAGAAAGATGAGTCTTCCTGATTCCAAGCCCAGTGCTCTATCCACTGTGCCACCTAGCTGCCCTAATTATCCTAGGGCAGACCCTCATTACCTAACACCTGGACTACTGCCTTCAACTTGGTCTCCCTGCCTCCAATGTCTCCTCACTCTAATCCATTATCCACTCAGTTGTCAAACTGATCTTTCTAAAATGCACATCTGACCATATTACTTCTCCATCTAATAAAATCTAGTGGTTCCCTATCACATCCAGCATCAGATATAAAATCCTCTGTTTGTCTTCCAAAGTCTTTTATGACCTGGCCCTTTCCTACCTTTCCAGTCTTTTTATACCTTATTTCCCTCCACATGCTGTACAATTCGGTGACACAAGCCACTTTTCTATTCCTCAAACAAAACATCCCTTCTCCCTATTTTGCAAGCCCTTTTTTATACCAAGAAGGATAATATTTGCATTGAAAATGACTAATCGGGAGTTGATACCCAAGATAAATAAGTTGATAGTAAATGAACACCTAGATGGCTCCAAAGAATTCAAGGAACCTGACCTACATAAACTACATCCTTGAGTACTGAAAGAACTGGCAGATATTATTACGGAGCCATTTTTGGTGACATTTAATAAATCATGAAAAACAGGACAGATGCCACAAGATTGGAGAAGGGCAAATGTCCTAACTTTCAAATAAAAAAGGGAAGAAAACAGAGTCCACAAGCAATAGGCCAGTGAGCTTGACTTCAGTTCCTGGGGGAAAAAAATCTAGAAGGGATTATTAAAGAGCTGGAGGATGAACATTTAAAAGGGCCAGCATGGCTTTATCAAGATACATGATGCCAGACTAAATTCATTTCCTTTTTTGACAGGACTACAAACTAAGAGATGAAGAGAATGTTGTGCCAATAGTTTCCCAAGATTTAAGCAAAGCTTCTGATTTCATGCTTTTTTATGAAGAAGGTAGAGAGATGTGGACTGCATGATCACACAGTAGATTGACTTAGCACTAGATGGTTGGTTCAGTGAAAAGTAGGAGTTCTCCAGGAATCTGGGTTTGGTCCTGCTCTGTTTGACATTTTTATATTTAGTGACTTGCATAAAAGCAGAAACGGCATGCTAATCAGATTTGCAGAGTACACAAAGGTAGGACACATAACTAACACACTGAATAACAGAGTTAGGATTTAAAAGTATCCTGACAGGCAGAGAGCATTAGGCTGAATCTAGTACCATAGAATTCAATAAGGGTAAATGTAAAGTCTTAGATGTAGAAATAAAAATAAATTTAACAAGTACAAGATAAGGAAAGCATTATTAGACAACAGTTCTAAAAAACATCTGGGGGTTCTAGTAGACTTCTATAAGGCTTATAGTGAATCAGCAGTGTGATATGATAGCCAAAAAAAGCTAATGTTATCTTCAGCTGCATTAGTCTCAATAAACATTTAATAAGCACTTAGTATGGGGTCAGTGAGTCAACTAGTATTCATTAAGTACTTACAATGTGAAAGACTGTGCTAAGGAAACGGAGACACAAAGGCCAAAAAAAAAATTCCTACCTGCAAGGAGTTCCCAGTCTAATGGGGGAGATATCATGAACACAACTATGTACAAAGAAGCTATATACAGGATAAATTGGAGACAGAATGAAGGCACTATCATTAAGGACTGGGACAGGCTTATTACTTAGCACTCCTAATACAATTTTCACAGGATTTTTACAGGACAGGCTTTTATATTCATCATCTGTTACCTGGCCTTGCTTCCATCTTCTGACATGTCACTTTTCTGCACAAAAATCTTCAGTGGCTCCCTATTATTTACCAAGAAAAGCTAAAAAATACTTTGTCCGGCACTGAAGGGCATCCACAATCTGGTGCCACCCTATCTTTTTGAGATAGTTCCATATTATCCCCTGTAATGTACCTGTGTTCTAGTCATGCTACTCTACTTGCTATGTACCCCACATTCAACATTCCATCCTATCTGTGTGCCTTTGCATAGCCTGTCCTCCTTGAACTGAATGTTCCCCCCCTCACCTTTGCCATTTGGAACTCTCAGGGCCCTTCAAGGCTTAGTCAAGTTCTCTTTCCTCCAGAAGTCCTTTCCTGATCCTCCAAATGTCAGCATCGTCACCATAAAAAATCACCTTGTTATCTACTTTGTCTATATGTTGCTTTTACTTTGTAATCCCAGTAGAATTAAGCTACTTGAGGGCAAACTCTATTTTGCTACCAAAATATCATTTGGTTTGATAAAGGCATACCCACTTTAAGAAAGTATAAACTATAAAGATCCTAACCTAGGAAAAACATGTATTAGGGACAGTTATTTCCTTTTCGGGAGGGGGAGGTTTCCTACAGCGTTCTTTTAAATAGTGAGATTCCTTAATACATTTAAATTTTTATTCCATTTCCATCCCATTTGATTCACACATGTAACTTACATAATTCCCTTTCCTTATTTTTCTTCTCTTAAATGAGCCACTGCTTTAAGAAGAGGTCTAACTAGAATATACTTTATCCTCGCTAGGACATACAAGCAGTAGAACTGAAGGCAACATAGTTAATTGCTGCCCCTTTTCCTCTACTTCCCTCTACATGTGTCTTTTACCCTTTTCTATTTTTATCTTTGCCTCTGTCATTACTAGAATGAAAAAGCAAGGCTTTCTAACTTACTCTTCTCAGTGTACCCTGTGGAAATTCAACCCAGATTATAGTTCACAAACTGGTGTTGCAATAATTGCCTGGTCAATTGGACTAATATAAGCCCCAAACTGGAAACTTGAAAAGAAAATAAAACCTAAATATAAATATTTTTTAATCATTTGCAAATAATCTCCCTCTGTCTCCTACACTTGCAAAAACATTAATTTCAGCACAAATTATTGTGTTACTCTAAGTGAATCACACAACAGATTTGAAAATTTAATAAACAGGACTGAAAATTGCAAAGGTTAATAAAGGCTGTCAAGGATAGCACAGGCCTGTGACCCAAATGTTCACCTAGTTATTCCTCACTTAATGCTTTATTATTCTTCTGCAATCTTAATTCAGTTAAATAAACATGCTTCAAGTGCTTTCTCAGCGCCAGACATTGTGTTAGGCATAGTAGGCCTAGGATATAAAGATGAAGCCAACATTTTTCATCCTCATTTTATTATCTCCACCCAAAAAAAACTGGGAACATTTTGTGGTTGAAAATGGATAACTTCATGCCATTCTTTTTTTTTTTCTAGATTCATTTTGGGCCCCAAAGCACAACTCCCCTCCGCCCAGTTTATTATATTGCCATAAATCTCCTCCTAAAGTCACAGATATTCCCCATTCTAAAATGAAAATACTTTAGCACTTATTTTAATGAACCCATGATCTCATCAATATGAGTATTCCTTCCAACAATACAGATCAAAACCCCTCTATCCCTGCTTATCCTGTGAGGTTCTCGTCCATGTCTTCTGGTAAATCTGTGCAGGGGCGTGTCTCAACGTGTTGGTCCTCTTTACATCTGTGTGCATCCCAGTTAAATAGATAGACTGTCCTCTGCTAAACCCTTGCTCCCAATACATGACCAGCCTATCTGTTTTTCATGTTTCTATATATCTGTTTCTGATGACATCTTTAATGCCACTTCTCCTGTGCAACTTTTTATTTGAAATATGGTACAGTCTGATTATGCCCACCATGAGCCAAGCCATTGCCCCTCACTTTTAATTCTTTGGATACTCAGCTCTAAAGCAGCATCACCAGAACAATAGTGTGAAAATACCAGGAAGAATCTTCAAGCTCTTCCTTTTAATGTGATTAATCTCTTTACAATTGTGTCCAAGTTGAGGAGGGAAAGATTCCTATTTCTGATAGAATTTCCCCATTTATTTCTTACATTTTGCTACTATAGATCCTTTCTGCCAGAAGACCCTCTAATCTCATTTCCCTGAAAGACTTCCAAGAACAAATGTATTATATTATCCTGTCTTTCTGCACCTTCTTAATCCACTCAAAAAACCCAAAAAATCCTAAATTAAAAGCTTCACAAAGCAAGAAGGAAAAACTGTCAGGAGTCTCAGCCCATGAGTCAGATGATTTTTTTCACATGTTCTGAAGAAAACTCCATATTATATATGTAGGTAGTCTTTGAGAGCTTCTCCAAATGCTGTTTCATCAAGAATTACTCAATCAGGGACTAGATTTCTGAGTCTATCCCAAATTGTCACTGCTTAGAAAATATTACGCATTCCAGCTCTGAATAAGAAGCCCACTGCTGCCCCCTTGAAAAATAAAGGTGACATAACCTTTCTAAATCATAGAAAACTACAGAGCAAGAAAAACGAACAGCAAACAACCTTTATACTTGAAAGAATTTGAGGTAGTTCATATTTGAAGGCAGCCTACAGAAGCCAACTTAATCAGTTCGATTTGACAAGCATTTATTAAGTGCCTACTATATACATGGCATTTGTGGTGGGGATTCAAAGAAAATGCCACATTTACCACAATTCTCTTCAAAATTCCAAAAAGCAAGAATGAGAAATTTCAGAGTGGGAAATATAATCTTCCCTTGCATAATTTCTCTTCTAAAGCCTTGTTGAAAGATTGGAAAAAGCAGAATTACATGTAATGAGCTATTCTCCCAACTCATACTAGCAGTGGCCTCAGAACTATGCTCCTGTGTGCTCTCAAGGCTGTAGGAGTAACCCTGAGGGATAAAGTTTTTTTTTTCCTGATGCTATCAACTTGAGCCTCCATCTGATATATTCCCCCAGTATCACTTACCAGTCAGTATATTCCCCATATCATTTAACCGGTTAATAATATCTAGGAGCCATTACAAAGAAATAGTTACTAAAAAGATACAGCAAGAACCAAATTACAAAAAAGTCCCTCCTAAAGGGGATTCCCTCCAGTCCCTGGAGAGAGTGGGCTGAAGCTTAAAATGATGGCTATAAACATTCTTACTAGCACAGAGTTCACTTCTGAGTATAGAGTAGCCAATGGATCAGTCATTACCTTAATTACACGGCATGGCTTCTGGGCCAATCCACTTCAGGCTGGGGTGAGCAGGTCACTCTTCAGAGACAGCTTCTCATGGGTCTCAACTATCAGCAAAGTTCCTAAACCTCTGGTGGTTCTTTCAACCTTTTGAAAACCATAAGATCATAAGCTAGTTAACTTTTTTCTCTTAAATAAATTCTCCTAAGAGCAGGAAAGAATGGAAATCAACAGAGACAGACAAAGAATAATACCATGCCTTCATGGTGACCATGCCAGAGAGGGACAAGTCCTCTCCCCAACTAAGCAGCCCAGCATAGTTTATCCTTACTCAAAAGCCTCCAGGAAGAGACAATGGGTGAGTTCTTTTATTGAAAATTCTAGCTCAGCGACCAATGAAAAGGCTTTTTTCACCACAAAGAAAGCAGAAAGAAAATAATCACAGAATCACAGACCTGTCCCTTACATGTCATCATACATTTCCAAAAGCAGGTTCACCAAATCACCCATAAGCGTTGTCCTATATGCATGCCCTGAAGCCCTGACCCCCATTAGTCAGTGCCCTATTACTTATGGACATCTTACCTCCAATCTAAACAAAATGCTAGTCCTGCTGCCAGTTACCACCCAGCTTTCTTTCAGTTAACAGATATTCACTAAACATCTGTTTATTATGGGCAGAAGATTGTGGGGTATACAAAGAAGTATAAGACAGTTCCAGTTCTAATCATTCTAGAATCCTACAGTTTAATTGAGAAGAAACATAAACATAAACATACATGGATATGCTAAAGTCACAGATATTCTGCATTTTAAAATGAAAATACTTTAGTATTTATTTTAATGAATCTATGATCTCATCAATATAAGTATTCCTTCCAACAATACAGATCAAAACCCCTCCATGGCTTTACTTATCCTGTGAGATTTTGTCCATGTCTTCTAGTAAATCTGTGCAGGGAGGATGGCTTGGTCACCATGAAAACATGGTGCTATTCTTTATCTTGTCTCAGTTGACTTCCATTCTTTCCTGCTCTTAAGTGAATGAATTTAGGAGACGAATCCTATGGTTTAACAAGAAAAGCTAAACCAAAGCAAAGACAAGAGATGTCACAAGGCATATAATAAAAGATAAGAGAATAACCACTATAACACTATGGGTTAGAGTGGTCAGGAAAGATCTCCTGAAGAGGTAGAACGTGAGTTGGGTCTTAAAGAATGGAGATTTTGGATAAGTGGAAAGGACGCAGGAAAATATTCTAGGCTGGAAGATGAATTTAAGCAAAAAAATATAGAAATGAGTTGACATGTGATCTAACATTCTAATGCTTTGCTTTCCTCATAAGAATAACACGGAGCAATGGAAAAGAAAGTGCTCTCAAACAGACGAAATGTAAAAATGAAAGGAATCATTAGTAACATGGAGCAGTAGATAGACAGTTGATAGATAGTGGATTGACAGGAGAGCAGGAGTGTGTGTGTGTGTGTGTGTGTGTGTGTGTGTGTGTGTGAGAGAGAGAGAGAGAGAGAGAGAGAGAGAGAGAGAGAGAGAGAGAGAGAGAGAGAGAGAGAGAGAGAGAGAGGGAGAGAGAGAGAGAAGGAAGAACACTGGCTGCACGACCCTAGGCAACTCCCTTAATTTCTCAGTACCCCCCAGGCAACTCTTTAAATTGAGAGCAGCTGTAGATTCACAATAATGGGGGAATTTCCTTGCTGGGAGTTCCCTATATATATGAAAATAACAAATCTGGTCCAAAAGAAAAAAACCACTATGGGCAAATCTGCCCCTCAGTTTCCTCATCTGTAAAATGGGGATAATAAATATATGTATACTCCACCTCCAAGGGTTATAAGGAAAGCACTTTTGTAAACTTTAAAGCCCTAAAAAAATGTGAATTGTTTTAATGTGTGCTGAGAACATTGGCCTTTGAAGTCAAGCTATGGTGCTGGATGTCAATTTGTCCCCATTTAGCAAATGAACAGAATGAATTCTCATGGAACATTAGTGAAACTATTTGCAATAAATGTATGAAGAATATGTAAACTCAATCTGTTTTAATGATACATTAGTCTGAAAAGCATTGATGTTTGACCCTTAAATTTGTTCATAATAAGTATCTCTTTGGAAGTTCCAAATGGATCCCCATATTTCTACAGAAAGTGACCTTTTGGTCATGAGGCAGCACACACAGTGCAATGAAAAGAGCCTTCACTAGATGTGGTCTTAAGTCAAGACTTAGTTCTGACACTAGCTGGGATCCTGGGCAAATTCAACTTTTTTACCTTGTCCACAAAATAGGGATACTATCTACAGTACCTGCCTTACAGACTTAAAAAGGGAAAATAATACATATAATCCTGAATGTTTTTTTTAATATGCCAGTTATTATTATATATAAGATGAGGGTAATGTTTGTGCTACCTAAGTCACAACGTTGAAGGAAGGGCTTTGGTAAACCTTAACTAGGCACGTAGCATGAGTTTGTCTCCAGTAACAAAATGACAGCTCCTGGAGAGCAGATATTTAATTTTCTTCGTCTTTGTACCCCAGTGCCTAGCGTAGTTCCTAGGATACAACAGGATCCAGAGACTGGTCTTTTCATTGGCATAAGAAATGCCCAATTAAGGAAAAACTCTTTCTAGCATTGCAGGGTGACACCTTCCTCAAAGTTTTATAATCTTAGAAAGTTGCCTGCAGCAAAGACAGAGTGGGTGATTTGCCCAGGGTCATACAGCCAGCATGTGCCAAAAGTGAGACTTGGACCCAAACTGTCCTGTCTATCCAAGGTAAGCCTTCTATCCACTCCAACAGTAGACAGCTAATAAACATTTGTTGATTGACTGAATTCAAGCCCTGGGTCTGGTGCTGACAAGCTGGGTAACTGCACAAATCACTCAAACAATTTGTGCTTCAGTTTCCTCTTATAAAATGTGAATAATACGTTACCTGCTGTCACAGGGATATCATGAGAAAAGTGATTTGTAAACCTGAACATGCTATATAAAAGTCAGTATTTATCACAGTGAGGCACAACTATGAAGTAACGAGACTAATAATGTAAGTGTTGGTGTTGTTCAAAGCAGTCATCCTCATACACACTCCAGTGACGATGCCATTGTTCACATTTCTGGACTCCTCTTTGAAAAGGCTTCAGGAGCAAGTCCAGACCAGCCCTCGCCTGCCCCCAAATCATTCCCATTTCTGTATTACATTTTATGTTGGACCAAAAGTCATTTTATTTCACTGGTTCACTTAGCTTATTCCCTATATATGTCCTTGAATGACTCTTTTTTTTTCTCTTTCTAAAAACCAAGCACATTCTTATAAGGAGGATTTGGAACCACTGATGGAATTCCCCCATATGGACACAGAAATGGTATCAACTCTGACAAGGCAGAATGATGCAAAAAGCATTGCATTTGGAGTTACAGGATGGAGGTTCAAATTGAATTCTGCTTTTTACTACTTGTTGGCATAGTGGATACAGTACTGGGTCTGGAGTCAAGACACTAATTAGCTGTGTGAGCCTGCACAAGTCATTTAATCCTGTTTGCCTCAGTTCTCCCATCTGTAAAATGAGGGTAATAATCGCACCTCGCTCCCAGGGTTGTTGGGAGGATAAAACAAGATACTAATGGTAAAGTGCTTCGTGCAGTGCCTGACACATAGTAACATAAAAGGCAGCTGTTATTTTTATTACTACCTATAAGGCCACAAGCCACTTAATTTCTCCTGAACTCTGCTAATTCACCTGGAAAATGGGAAAACTGGACTGGATGACCTCGAAAGACACTTCAAAATCTAAATCTATGGTTCCATGATCCTCCTAACAACACTACTCTGAAGGGGACAATATTAAGTGTTGGCTTAAAAAATGATAATAAAATAATCATTTCGCCCCTGATCTCTCCTCCATTTATGCAGGATAATAGTAGTAGCTAACAAAGCACTTAACTTACTTTACCTGTAAGTCTCATAGGAGCCTTACATGCCTGTGATAATATTAATTCCCATTAAAGACTTAAGGGAATTAAGGCCGTGGAAGCTTAAGCGGGTGTGTCAGTGTTTGCTCAGCCATATCAGGGTGGGCTTCAGGAAGCAGGCTCTCATTTTCAGGTAAGCATCACAGAACCACTGGGGCTTCCTTTAGGCCAGTGCCCTCATTTTGCAGTAGAGGAAACTGAGGCCCGAGGGCGAAGGAGTTTGCCCCGAGTCACAAGGGAGCGGAGCTCAGACTCCACCTCCTGCTCCACGACTGGGCAGGGTCGCCTTGGGAGGCCGCTCCTCCAGCTGGAGACTTGAGGGTAGTCTGGGAGGCCCAGGGAGCGAGGGGCAGGCCGGCCAGTTCAGCCTGCTTTTATTGGGCGCCTAGGGCGGGGCAGCAAAACCGAGCCAAGCGCAGACCTTCCAGAGGCGGCCATGGCAGAGACGTCAGGGAAGCGCCTCAGAGGACCTCCCGGGGCGGGGTCACCAAGGCAGGCCCACAGGAGCCTCGGCTCTCCCAGCCCTAAAGTGGAGGCTTCGGCTCGTCTCCTCTCTCAGCTCCGCCCCCGCTCCGCCTTGGGCAGCCGAGGAGACTGAAGGAAGACAATCGCAGCCCCGAGGTTAAGTCACTTAGACCAGCCCCCTCCTCAGGGCGCATGCGCAGGAGCCCCTCCCTCGCTTCCGTCCGCTCTCCCCGGGGAGCGGAAGTGACGTGTGTGCGGACTTCCGCTCTCTTTGCTCTTCTCGCGACACTTGAGGTGTCCCTTCCTTTTCTCTTTTGCGGCGGCCTGCGACATGGTAGGTGACTGTGGCGGCGTCTCCGGTCCCGAGGCGGCCTGGCCGAGCCAGGCAGTGGCGCCTCGTGGGCGGGATGGCAGGGAGCCCTACCTCTGGTTCCTTCTTCTCTCTTCCTCTTCCTTTCCCTCTCTTCACGGGGTGCTTGGGGCAGGGGCCGGGAGTGGCCACGCGGCTCGGTCCTGAGCCCAGGCCGCAGCCCGGGGCGTCCGGTGCTGGAAGGCGAAGGGGCCCATGCTCGGACCGCCTTCCGCGCCCCGACGTCCCGACTCTTTCCCCCCGCAGCCTTCCCGACTAAGGAAGACGCGGAAGCTCCGCGGGCACGTCAGCCACGGCCACGGGCGCATTGGTGAGTGATGGCCGGAGGGGAGGGCCACGCGGCGGGAGGGGGTCCCGGGCCCGGGCTTGCGGTCGGTAACTCAGGCCTCACTCTCTCCAGGCAAGCACCGGAAGCACCCTGGAGGCCGCGGCAATGCAGGAGGGCTGCACCATCACCGGATCAACTTCGACAAATAGTAAGTTTGCTTTCGCTGCCCCCGACTGGGTCGTGGTGCGGAAACCAGGTTTTCCACCCTCCTGCCGGCTGACGGGTGATCATACTGATTCCCGGCTTCACTGCGTTAATTTTTCATCTTTCGGCACATTTATACAGCACCTACTGTGTGTTGGGGGAGAGGGGAGGGAAATAGCCAGAAACAGTAAACCGAGTTTAATTAACGTTTAGTATTTCTCGGTAAGTGCCTTAGAGTCTCGGGCCAGACTTGTGGACCTTGTGATATCTACAGCAAAAAGTTGCCATGATAAAGTAGATTTTGAAACTGAGACTTAAAGTTACATCTAGGCATTGCCTGTTGTCCTGGTGTGCTAAAGTACTCGAAAAGTAATCGCTAACTCTGTGCACTGGCTGGTCATCTCATGATCCTTTCAGTCACCGGGTTAGGAATATTTATAAACAAACTTTTAAAACTCACCTATTCGGAGGTCTTGGTTAAGATGAAAAGTGCTTAGTGATTTGCTCAGGGTCACACAGCTAGTAAGTGTCTGAAGCTGGATTTGAAAAGTTATAACTTTCTGACTCCAGGCCCAGACCCTCTGGGGTGAATGATAACTTTTCATTGAGGAAATGGCATTTGCCATTGTAGACTTAAGATTTAAAATAACTGTGACTTCGATTGTCTGGGTCCTAATTTTCCTGTTTTTAAAGTGGAGTGGGACTCTGGTCTTTTTAAGGATCTTACTGGCCCAGACATTTTGTTTACTTGTAAAATCTGTCATGTTTCGAATTGCTTCAAATAAAGAGAGGCCATCCTTCCTGGTCAGACTTTGGTTATTGGGAATGGGCAGCTGACCCCAGGCCTGACACTAAATGATGCTGGTTTCTTTTCATCAGTCATCCAGGTTACTTTGGGAAAGTGGGTATGAGGCATTACCACTTGAAGAAGAACCAAAGCTACTGCCCAACTGTCAACCTTGACAAACTGTGGACACTGGTCAGTGAGCAGACCAGGATTAATGCTGCCAAAAACAAGGAGGGACTTGCCCCTATCATTGACGTTGTGCGGTCGGTAAGTGAGCTGAACTTTCACTTTGCCCACCTGTATCCATCCTCAGGTGTCAGGTTTTTAAGCTGGAAAGGGAATCCTGAAGCAGTAAATAAGAGAAATATTTCCTTTAGCCTCCCAATATAACCTGGGGACCATATACCCACCAGCCATGTCTTTGACCCGAGACTAGAGTCACATCCTGACAGTAACTGTTGTCTTGGTGTGCTAGAGTCCTCGGAGAAAATCTTCTGACCTTTATTCACTGGCCTTGGCATCTGGTGCCACAGTCAGTCACCGGGTCAGTTACATTGTTTTTGGTTTACTTGAAAGATTAGTGGGACTGTAACAAAAATATGGATCCATTTTTGGGTACCAGTAAATCTTATTTTAATTGTAAATGAACTAGATAAGATAATGGTTCTTATTTAAGCTTTTCCCCCTCAACTTTTTCTAGGGGTACTACAAAGTCCTAGGGAAAGGGAAACTCCCCAAGCAGCCAGTCATCGTGAAGGCAAAGTTCTTCAGCAGAAGAGCAGAGGAAAAAATCAAGGGTGTTGGTGGAGCCTGTGTCCTTGTGGCATAAAAATCCAATGTTATCAAATAAAACAGATGTCTTTATTAAACATGCTGGGGTTTGCTACATTAAGGTGCTTAGATTTAAATGTAAGTGGGTTGGGAGATCTAAATTACTCCTGTTGGTTATCCATTGTTCACTGTCGCTTAGAAAGATGACTTCAAGTTTCCAAGCATGGGTACTCACTTAAGGGAGGAGAGTTCTAGTTAACCTCATGTATATACTATATGAATTGTGGAATGGTTTTTGAGTAAACCACAACAGATGAGACCTTAGAATTTAATCACTAAACACTCCCCCCCCCCCAGTTATGGGAAGACAATAAAGTAGTTAACTTTTGTCCCTCAGTTTGTATCTGCAATAGGCTATTTACTGAACCTTACATTGGGTTTAATCAGCAGCCACTTGAGTGCTTTATGTGCCTAGATACCAGGGCTAAAAAGACCACGTTTCCCTTTCCACAAAAATATCAGAGCTTGTTCTGTGTCTTCACATACATGTGATATCCACATTGAATGGTCAGTGTTAACTCAAACCGGAAGTGGGTAGTGGAATAAATGATCTCTTGGGGTCCTCTTCCTGTCTGCACAAATGTATTATTAAGCCCCTACTATGTGACGAGCATTGGAGATACAAAAAGCAAAGGTGGTTACTCCTTGTCCTCAAGTTTGTAATGGAGCATGAGCAGAAATATATGGAAAACATCTGAAGTAGCCACAAGGTAACCTTAGAAAGGATTCCTAGAGGCATAGGTGAGGGAAAGCATTCTGGGAGGGAGGGGTATATGCAGCCAGTGCAACAGTGGGGGCTGGATTCTGAGTAAGTGGAAGGTGGAAGATGTAAGGAAACAAAGTAGTCAGGGGCCAGGCTATGCTGAGGCTTTAATTCCATAGTTTATATGTCATTCTAGAGATAATAGGATTCACTGGTGTGGGGTGGGAGTTTCATAGCCAAACTTGCTCTTTAGAATTTACAAGAACTGATGCTGAGTGAAGTGAGCAGAACCAGAACATACATAGTAACAGCAGCATTGTGCTATGATAAATTATGAATGACTTCACTTTTCTCGGCGATAGAGTGATCCAAGATGATGAAGAATGAGCTAGAGTCAGGGAGAGACTGGCAGAGAGGCAACACTCTGGGTTCAAGGGGATGGAGGGTCTGAAATAAGGTAGAGGGTGGTGACTGGAGGAATGATGGCCAGAGAAGCTGGGGAGATAATAGCTACTGATTGGATATGTGGGGTCCAGAGGAGCAAAGGGTAACACAAGGTTGCAAATAAAGTTACATGGATTTAGGACAGAAAACCGAGTTTCGACTTGGTAAGTTTGTGATGCCTGTGAAGTATCCAGTTTTAAGTTCTTAAGGCAATTTTAAACGTGGGCGCTGCAGTTCAGAGGGGCTACGATACATAAACCTGGGAGTTACCTGCGTGGAGATAATGGTAATGCCTAGTATCAGTAAAGTACTTTAAAATGTATTAGGTACTTTACAATTGGATCATTTGATCTTAATATAATCTCAGGTGAGGAAATGACTGAAGACATGGTTGAGGCCACAGCTAGTGTGAGGCAGGATTTGAATTTGGGTCTTCCTTTCTCCAGATCATTACTCTTCTGTACCACCCAGCTGCCATACAGATGAATCCAATGGGCCAACAGTAGTGAGTGGTCTCAGGTAAAGCGAAGGAATATTTGGGCATGATCATGTACTTTTAGCTCCACTAATAATGTGTACATACAAAGCCATCAGATAAAAGGATTTCATATCCTTTTTACATTAATCATTTATCAGGTGCCAGGTACTGTGCTAAATGATGAGCATATTAAGACAACCATCCCTCCCCTCAAGGTGCTCATATTCTAACAGGGAAGACATGCATCATTAGACACATATGAGATAGGCGAAGGGCAGGTAGCAGCTGGAGGAACCGGAAAAAAGTGTCAGGTCACCGTTACCGACTTTATTTCTCCTAATAGCTGGTTTTCCCTGAATCTCTGGGAAAAGATAGCCAACAGTATGTCAAATACTGCAAAGTATGAGGTCTGGAAAAGGCCCTTGAATGTGGCAAGTGGAGGTCATTGGTGACAGCTGAAGAAATTTCAGTAGAGTGGGTAATGAGAAAGAAGAGGCACTGGGTGAAGCCATCTTCCATACATTTGGCAGTAAATAGTGGTCAAGCGAAGTCCAAAACATGTTTCCAAATACCTACTCTAGTGTCCTTACTACCATACCACTCTGCTTCTCAAAAGGAACAGAGGAAACAAGTCCTGCTTCCTGCTCTTGAGCTAGCTATTCCTTCCCTCAGTAGGCAAATAGTGTCTGAACAAATCTTCCCCACCACCTGAAAAGCCTAGACAAAAACATAATGTATGGGATTTGCAGCAAACCCTGCCCAGTACTGATAAAACTACTCAAAGTGAGTTGGTTAAAAATACAAGACCAGCATTATCAGTATGAGGAGAAGAAACGGAGTTCTGAGTTTCATTGGTGAGGTGAACCCATACAATATGTTATATATGGCAGTTCTCAAAGTTTTTGGTCTCACGACCCCTTATACTTTTAAAAATAGTTGCAGATGCTCCAAAGAGCTTTTGTTTACATGGACTGTGTCTATTAACATTTGCCTTGCTAGAAATGATAACATCTTAGTATTATGAAAAACTCCTGAAATCCTTTTGGAGGTCCCAGGATCCACCACACTTGAAAATTGCTGTCATTAAAG